GGTGCCATAGACACAGGTCTAGTACCAAGTACAAGATCAATAGCAAATTCAACTTCCCTCTCTGGCGGTACATCAGGAATTTCATCAGGGAAAACTTCAGGAAATTCACACACCACCTGCAATTCCTCAATTATAGCTTGAGTCTCTATAGATAGGGACGCCATCAATGAGAACATATGTGCTTCCTCTTGCATCAACTTCCTCAACTGTTTAGTAGTCAGCAGACCATCCTCATCTTCTTCAGGAGTAGAAAACTTCACAGACTTGTCATAACAGTTAATATGAACATAGTTATGCTCTAACCAGTTCATACCCAAAATCACATCAAAATCTCTTAATGGTAAACAAACTAAATCAACAGCAAAGTCTCTATCGAAGATCGACAAGGGACACTTCAAACACACAAAAGAAGTAGTCACCGACCCCTTGGTTGGAGTATCGACGACCATTTATCCATTCAAAGAAGACAACATAAGACCCAATATTTCAACACAATTAGCAGCAATAAAACAATGCGTAGCACCGGTATCAACAATAGTAATTAAAGGAGTACTATTAATGAAACATATACCTCTGATAAGTCTGTCCTCAGCAGCTGTCTGATCCTCAACCAAAGCAAACACTTTACCACTTGTCTGAGCCCTCTTTGGTTTCTGACACTGACTACCAATGTGCCCTTCTTCTCTACAATTAAAATAAATCACATCCTTATGTTCACACTCAGATACTACATGTCCGTTCTTACCACAACGAAAACACCTCTTCACTTCATCAGTACACACATTACTCTTATGCCCAGGTTTTCCACACTTAAAACAAACCACACCAGTAGGAGCATCTCCCTCACTAGTCCTCTGACCATGAGAAACTTTCTGTTTACCTTTACTAGCTGGGGTATCATAAGAATTACCACGATTCTGTTGGTGCTTACCCCTCTTCTCACTGATAGTCTTGTAATGAGCATTATTATCCTCCTCATAAATCCTACAACTATCAACCAAATCAGCAAAGACACGGATCTTCTGGTATCCAACTGCCTTCTTGATCTCCGGGTGCAACCCGTTCTCAAACTTGATACACTTAGAAAACTCAGCATCTGCCTCAGTGTAATGCGGATAAAACTTAGCCAACTCAGCAAACTTGGCAGCATACTCAACAATCGACATATTCCCTTGCTTCAACTCAAGGAACTCAATCTCCTTCTTACCACAGACGTCTTCAGGAAATTACTTCCTCAAAAATTCCCTACGGAACACAACCCAAGTGACATTCTCACCTGCAGCTTCCAATCTCTGACAAGTCTCTAGCCACCAGTCATCAACCTCGACTGCTAGCATATGAGTACCATAACGAACCTTTTGCGCTGGAGTGCAATCCATCACACGGAAGATTCTCTCAATCTCTTTCAACCACTCCAATGCTCTGTCAGGATCATACTTTCCCTTTAACGTAGGCAGATTCTCTCTCTGGAAAGTCGCCAAGCTACGATATCCAGCATTCTCGTCAGTATTCGGCTGATTTTACATTGCATGAGCCATTGCTTCTAGAGCAGCAGCAAGTGCAGCATCATTTCTTCCAGCCATCTCAACTTATCACTATAACATAAACAACAGTTAGAACTCAAAGTAACAATACTCGATTGTTAGACAACTACGACTCGATAACAAGGTCGGACCAACCTTTTACTCTGATACCAACTTTGTAACACCACAATTCTACCCCAGCAAATTTTATAAATAAATCAGAGTTATAAAAATAATTCATGCAAATTCGAATCGGGATATCACAAATTCTTCTATCAAAATTCATTGCATTCATCATAGATATATAACACTTTTAAAACATCAGATGAACCATTATCATAACATCTTTAATTAAATAATTCAACATCTACGCAGTGGAATTCTTAATAGCATCTTTATCATCAATACAGCAACTTCAAAACATCACCATATAATAATAATCAACTTAAGGTTCAACAACTGAATAATCAACAATCAAAAGCAACAATCGTTCATCCCCCGAGTGTTACATATCAGAGTAATGACACCGACTCGAACTACTGAAGGTATACAACCTTCACTCTCGATTACCTGCACGTTACCAATATAAGATCAACATTCAAACAGAAGGGGTGAGATATCTAACAATATAATAAAGCGCATGATAATTAATATATTAAACTAGATCACATAACACCACCACTTCTCATCTCATAATCAACAATAATCACAACAATAATCCACATTCACCACATCGATACACATTTCTTTATGCAATCATATAATACGACTCAATAATATGCAAATGCATGTGGTACCATTGGAGTAGAACTCCCATCTCAAAATTTTCCAATTAATAGAGGCATCAACAAGGCATAAGCCTTCATCTCAATATTTGCCAATTCAGGCCATCTCAACGAGCATAAGCTCCATCTCAAAATGCAATGTATGTGACACAATCATGAATGTAATAACAACACCATAATTAACAACATCTCAATACAACATCATCGTTGGCCAAAGGCCTACATCTTAAAGCATCTCAACATCTCTTCATCAACATCTCGTATCATCGTAATAATTCTTCAAACATCATTTATTCATCAAACATCATTTATTCATCATAAATCATCAACACAACATCATTAATATCATCTCATCAACAACTCAGTTGTACATTAATACGATAATAATTCACACTGCTATTCTGTAATCTTACATCATTACTATCATTACTCATACTGTTACAAATCAAACAGCAACCTATAAACATTTCATCCTCATCATTCTGCATAAAAACAACATAACGATTAACGCGGGAATTAACTCTAGTCCTAATTTGGATTACTAGGGTTGTCCTTCATACTCTTCATTTTAATCCTCAAGAATAAGGCTCATCATGTTAGTTATTCAACGCTTCGAACGACATCTCAAACGGCATCCTAAAACTCAAGTTACAACATTTTTTAAACTGAATCTGCCAAAAACCTAGTCAACATGAGTCGATGCATAACTCCTTGGATCGACGTGTACTGCACTGAACTCGCAACATGAGTCGACGCATTCCCTCATGTATCGACTCATCCTGAGCCTAACACACAACATGTATCGACACATGCTCCTATGGTTTGACTCATCCTGAGTCTAAAAGTCTTCATGGATCGACGCAAAACCTCTTCGTGTCGACTCATCCTGAGTCTCTCAACCTTCTTGTATCGACACATCAAGTTTGAGGTCGACGCATCCTGTTACAACCTGCATAAATTCTGTGATTTTCTTTGTGTTTTCACTACGTGTTCTATAATTTAAGCCCTAAAAACTTAATCCAACCATAGATAATCATCACTTGCAAGTACCCTATAATTCTACATCAATCGAACAACACCGGGACATCATTATTCATCTAAAGTTCATCAATTCTTCATCATACAACATCATATACATTTAATTCATTAGCAAGACAACAATCACCTCTAACCCCACATACCAATCATCATGAACCCAATTATAGAGTCAGAACTCCACTCTTACCTTGGATTGAAGGTCGCTCTATAATCTTCGGTTGAATTCTCGTTCTGCCGTCTTTCCTCTTTTTCCTGCAGCTTCACGTTCTTCTTCTCAATCCTTATTCTTATAGTGCTTCTTTTCTATTCTTTCCAACAATAGAATAACCTATTATTCTTTATTCCTTATTGGGCTTAAAACTATACACCCCCTTATTACTACTTCTATTCCTTAAAAACAAGCCCACATCAAATAATATTATACTTCTAATATTATTTCTCCACTTAATAAAATACTTAAATCCACTTAATCACAACACAACTTCTCAAATATTCTAAAAATGATTTAATTAAATAATTAATTAAATTACGGGCGTTACATATAGCCCTATAGGTTAGGTCATATGAGTGAGAAATAGAGAAAGGTTATGCATTCAAAAGGAAAATAACAAAGTCTTCTAGAAGTAGAAATTAACATATGAGATTATATACTTTGAAATCATAAAAGATTTATTTTGTGCAACTTTTATCGTACCGTTTTCATCTTCTTTTCGTTCATATTTTATAGCAAACTCCCGACACAAGATCTAACAATTCTTTCACGCAACTTTTGAGAAATAATTCTTTACGAATTATGTCTTTGGAAATATCAATATCGTTTTTCTTGATAATGAACAATCTTGTAAGATTGTGGGAAAATGAGAGATAAATATCAAATTGAATAAGTCTATATGAGATTAGAGAAATGACATGCGTATTCCTAAATTGAAAAAGAATTTAATCTTTTATATCAGTTGGACATCGACATATACACTACAATCTTCACAATAATGATTGAAAAATTTCAAAAGGTACAATAATGATTGCTTGTAGAAGGAAGAACACTATTATTTCTAAAATAGTGGAAGCGTTTCGTTTGATTACAATTGCCACAAATGAAAAATCTTAATCTATAGCCCTATAGGTTAAGTCATATGAGTGAGAAATAGGGAAAGATTATGCATTCAAAAGGAAAATAACAAAGTCTTCTAGAAATAGAAATTGACATTTGAGATTATATATTTAGAAATCATAAAAGATTTAACTTTTATATTGTCGTAAGAATTCCAAATAAAGAGAAACTCGATTCATTCAGTATGGTGATAACTCTACTTTGTGACTTTTATGAATGATAGTATGAGTATACTTTCTTAAACATAAGGTGTTTTCGATTTAAGACTAATTCTATAACATGTTACACACTAATGCATTACATTTATGATGTTTATAAAAAATATTCTTTTTACTATTTTGTTAAACTTTTTTTTTTATATGACTTTTGTTAAACTTTTGAAATATGTGAGGGTTGTTGTATATTTGAGTTACAATTCTACTTCATATTAATTATTTAAAATTGCTTCTTATTTTATGTTACTTTGGCAATGTGATTTTTACTTGGTCCAAGCCAAATTTTCTCTAATCCTTTAAATTAAGAATCTTTTACAAAGGTGATGGAATGGGTAAACATGGGTTTGTCCGAAAACTGGTCGGTGACTTATCTTTTTCGGACTCATCACCCTTCGCCAAGCTATTGGACTCTTGTGTTAAGTCAAAATCCGTTTCTGAGGCGCGTCGCGTTCATGCTAGAATCATTAAGACACATTTTTCCTCAGAAATCTTCATTCAGAACAGGCTCGTTGATGTTTATGGGAAATGCGGTTTTTTGGAAGACGCACGCAAGGTGTTTGATCATATGCCACAGAGAAATATTTTCAGTTGGAATGCGGTTTTAAGTGCTTTGACGAAGTGTGGTGCTCTTGATGAGGCTTTGAACTTGTTTAAGTGTATGCCTGAGCCTGATCAGTGTTCTTGGAATGCTATGGTGTCTGGTTTTGCTCAAAGGGATCGTTTTGAGGAAGCGTTGAGATTCTTTGTTGATATGCATAAGGAGGATTTTGTGGTTAATGAGTATTCGGTTGGCAGTGCTCTTAGTGCTTGTGCAGGGTTGACAGATTTGAATATTGGTGTTCAAATCCATGGTTTGATATCGAAGTCTCGTTACTCGTTGGATGTTTACATGGGTTCTGCTCTAGTTGATATGTACTCAAAGTGTGGGGTGGTGGATAGTGCTCAGAGGGCTTTTGATGATATGGATGTGAGGAATATAGTTTCGTGGAACAGTTTGATTACGTGCTATGAGCAAAATGGTCCTGCTGGTAAAGCTATAGAGGTTTTTGTGAGAATGATGAGTAACAGGATTGAGCCCGATGAGATTACTTTGGCTAGTGTGGTTAGTGCTTGTGCAAGCTTATCAGCAATTAGGGAAGGTTTGGAAATTCATGCTCGTGTTATGAAACAGGATAAATTTCGGAATGACCTTGTGTTAGGCAATGCTTTGGTTGATATGTATGCAAAGTGCAAGAGAGTTAATGAAGCTCGATTGGTTTTTGATAGGATGCCACTTAGGGATGTGGTATCTGAAACCTCCATGGTAAGTGGATATGCAAAGGCATCAAGTGTGAAAGCAGCGAGACTGATGTTTTCAAACATGATGGAGAGGAATGTGGTGTCGTGGAATGCTCTTATTGCAGGTTATACGCAGAATGGAGATAATGAAGAGGCAATTAGACTATTTCTCCTCCTAAAAAGGGAATCCATCTGGCCAACTCATTACACCTTTGGTAACTTACTTAACGCGTGTGCAAATCTTGCTGATCTGAGGCTTGGAAGACAGGCACATACTCACATTTTGAAGCATGGTTTTTGGTTTCAGTCAGGGGAAGAATCTGATATTTTTGTTGGGAATTCTCTTATTGACATGTACATGAAATGTGGATTAGTTGAAGATGGACGTGTGGTTTTTGAGCGCATGTTAGAAAGGGATAATGTCTCGTGGAATGCCATGATAATCGGATATGCGCAAAATGGTTATGGTACCGAGGCCCTTGAAATTTTCAGGAAAATGCTGGTATCCGGAGAGAAACCAGATCATGTTACTATGATAGGAGTACTGTCTGCATGTAGTCATGCGGGACTTGTTGAAGAAGGGCGCTGTTACTTCTGGTCAATGACAACCGATCATGGTTTAGCACCAATAAAGGACCATTATACATGCATGGTTGATTTACTTGGTCGTGCGGGTTGCCTTGACGAAGCAAACAATCTGATACAAACAATGCCAATGGAACCTGATGCTGTTGTTTGGGGATCGTTACTTGCTGCTTGTAAGGTTCATGGAAACATTACATTAGGAAAGTATGTGGCAGAAAAGCTCTTGGAGATTGATCCCTTGAACTCTGGACCATATGTTCTTCTTTCAAATATGTATGCTGAGCTTGGTAGATGGAAAGATGTGGTGAGAGTCCGTAAACAGATGAGGCAAATGGGAGTAATAAAGCAACCTGGTTGCAGTTGGATTGAAATTCAGAGTCATCTACATGTTTTCATGGTAAAAGATAAAAGACACCCTCATAAGAAGGACATCTATTTAATTCTGAAAATTCTAACAGAACAGATGAAGCGAGTTGGTTATGTGCCAGAAGTCGACGATGATGAGACTTATGAAGAAGAAAGTGACTCTGAACTTATTTTACACAGTGAAATGGAAATGGCAGTAGATACTGCAGTTGGATAAAATATTTATTTATTTTGGCTCACAGCTTAAGCATCCTTCCAAGAAAGTAGAAAGATCTGAACTCAAGCTTTCTTTTCTTAGACAATGAGCAAAGGCTAGATATTTGAGACGGTGGTCCCTTAAAAAAAATCAATGGAGTTATGGTTATTTTTGATAAGTCAGTTAACTACAGAGCTTTGAGCATACTCCTTAGTTTGTTGTTTCTACTAGCTTCAATCCAAAAGAGGTAGACCTTAGAATAGATACTCTCAATCTGCTAACTTTCGTGCAAAACACAACATTTGATTGTTTATTTTTACCATCACTCAAAAAGGTTAACTGCTACTTCTACAGAGTGAACACATCATGTATAACACCACACGGACACTTGGCCATTAGCCTTCAGAGGTTTTAAAACTACAATGAAAAGGAATAACAGGATATATGATCAGCAAATATCTCAGTATGTTTCCTAATTGCTTCACTGTCATGCTATCCTTTAGTTAGTTTTTTGCTACCATTTTGTATTTCATACCAGGAATATAGATTGTAATTGAAACTAGGCTTTCGACTGACCAAGACTATAAAAAGCTCTTATTGTGTTTAACAGTAACAATGTTCAACAAAAATTCACAGAATCATATTAAGCCTATAAGTGATCTAACTAACTAACCATAGAAAACACAAACCAACATAATATAATATAGTACAAGTTGTTGGACCGACAAACCAATAGTTTATATATAAATTTTTTTGCCTGATACTATTACATATGTTCTTTGGTTGCTATCTGCAGAAAAAAATCCAAGATATTAGAACCCTATTGAGAGTCTCCATGGTTTTCAGAAGATGACACTCCGGGAACATCGGTATCTGAGAATTACATAAGAAATGAATCTATAAACAAAGATAAAGGACAGCATCACCCCAACATTCTTCCATCTACTACTCTCTCCTCCATACCCTTCTTCTTTAAGTATATCCTCTCCCTTCATCACACATGCCCCAAACATATACTCTAAGCATTTCTTTGAGTTGGAGAACTCATTTATCAGAAACCCTTCAAAGGGATACTTAAATAGAGATAAATAATGCATGAAAATCCAGTACTTTGGAATTTCATGATTGGATATGAAGTAACCAGAAAACAAAAAAGACGAACCAATGACCCCGGCAATTACCGAATTTCCAACAATGAAATTAGGCACCAGAGCACTGAAACATACCACAACCGAATTCGCAGTGTACAGTATCAGCCATATTAGCAACAGAAAGTTCAAAAACGCCGTGAAATTTTGGTTGAGACCGACAATCCAGTACAGCGGCACTGTGAATAGAATGGCTAGTATGAGTAGAAATGGCAAGTAAACTAGGCCATTGGCTAAAGCATAGGATGAAACTCTGTAGCTTCCACTTGAGGTCTCCTTCATTAGAATCTCCCGTTCTTGCAGAAAAATCGGTAGAGCATCAATGGTGCTTGATAACAAAAACGTTAGTATGAAAGCAAACAAACCAACTCTCTGTTCTGCTCCCACTAAACCATCTTTGAGATTACCAAATATGGAGCCTAAAACCATACCAGAAATCAGCATCTGAACTGTCTTAAATGCAAAGAGCTCATTTGTACGAAGAATGTTTTTGGAGAACCTATGAGCAAGAATCATTGTTTCTCTCAATCTCGAATTAGCATAATCACAAGTAAAATCCATGCCTACATTGATGTTTTCAATGTCAAATACCTTGGATTGTTGAAATAGTTGTAGTAGAGTTAACTTACCACTTCTACTTTCACCTTGATCATCGCCTTTCTTTAGTATCATTGACCCGAGTACTCGTTTCGGCGCTTCAATCTGAACTTGTTTGATCTTAACTTGTTGACTTTTTTGTTGTTGCTGAATAGTCTCAATGGATTCAATAGCAAACTCAACGACATTAACATGAAGAGGAAGCTCTAAACCCATCAACCTCAGATTCACATCCAACAAATCCACACTCCCATGATGCAACACACTGCCATTGTCTAACAACAGTATTGAATTGAACAACTTCACTATCCTGAACCCGGGTTGATGAATACTTAGTATTATAGTTCTTCCCCTAGATTCAGCCATGGCTTTCAGCATATCAATTATTTGCAAAGCCGAGGTACTGTCAAGACCCGAAGTTGCTTCATCAAGAATCAACACTTTCGGATCATGTATGACTTCAACACCAATGGAAACTCGGCGCCTCTCACCACCGGATATTCCGCGGATTCTGTCATCTCCGTCTCCTACTCTAGTCCTAGCAAGATGGCTAAGACCAAGCTCTTGAATCAGTGACTTAACCTTGGAGCATAGTTTTTCTTGAGGAAGATTTAGCCTTAGTTTTGCACTAAACATCATGGTTTCTTCCACTGTAAGTAAGGGGAAAAGGGTATCCTTTTGTGTAACATACCCTGAAAATTTTCTGAACTGAGATTTATCTACATGCTCCTTGTTCACCAAGATAGAACCTCCATTTTCTGGACTAACTCTACCAGCAAGAATCTCAAGCAGTGATGATTTTCCTGCTCCACTTGGCCCAACAATCGCAAGAATTTCACATGGCTTGGCTATGCAATTAACATCCTTGAGAACATGCTTAGCTCCATTACCCGGCATTTCTCCAGCATTTGCTTCATAGTCTGGTTTTCGAGGTTTGTTGAAGATTTTAAAAGGTTGTTTTAATGTCTTTGTGCCATGGATCTTATAGTTAATGCCTATTGCCTCAATCTCACACCATTGTTTCTTCATTGATTTGGCTCTCTTGTTTCTTTTCAATGTTAATCTCTCTTTTTCTTCTACTTGTTTCTCATTTCAAAACCATTTAACTCTCTTTCTCTCTATTCTATGTTGCTGTGCCTGTTATTATTATTATTATTATTATTATTATTATTTTAATCCACCGTTTTGGCTTAAGCTACTCACTGACATTAAATAATGAGTTGTTCGAAGGGATTTCAATGGTCCTCTAACTTGTATACACATTTCATTCACGTGCATTTGTTCTTGCTATATTTCTCTACCAAGTTGACAAAAAAACTTGAACTCTTCAAATATTATTATATAAAATAGTTCACGTTAGCTACTGTATTTTTTTTGTCTAGTCCAAAGAAAAGAATATATTAACCCTTCCTTTTCAATGCCACCTTGAAGCTTGAAAACTGTGACTAACTAGTTCTAGACTGTTTCAGGAATTCAAAATCCAGCTACGTGATCCAGTAACAAACGCGTCTTTATTAGCACATTGTCACGAGCTAAAACATGGTACTAGCATCTGACGATCTGAATTCACTTTTATAATCAGTGAACAGATTTCTTGAACTGTAAACAAATGACATAGTAAGTCAGTTCATTCATTCATAGAAACTAGCATTACAGAAAGGTTTTGCTTGTTTCTTAGTAGTGTACTGCTATGCTAGTTAGGACTATTCAAAAAAGTTGTGAACTGAATTGCCGAACTTAAAATAATTGAACTTAAAATAATTGAACTATTATGTTTGATCAGTGAACCAAATCATATTGTACAAACAGTTCTAGCACGAACCATATGACAAATAAATCGAATTGAAATTGAAACCAAACTGAATTGAAACCGTAAATGAAAAATACTAAAAATAAGTTTTAAATTTTTAAAAAAATTCAAAAAATAGTTTACCAAACCAATAAGAAAAGAGGAACAAGAGTGAAAGGAAATCGTTGGAGTTCGAAACTCAGAGAATGGAAAACTCAGAACATGCAAGACCAATGTCAAAAAAAAAATTGTATGAACTTGATCCAACGACGAAGGCAAAACGCTCTTAGAGAAGAATGACAAAGGAGGCAGAAATACTCTATTCGTAGATTATTGACAACAAAAAAGTTAAAAATGATGTTTCAAAAACCCTTTATACCCAATTCAGGTATTGAGGATCGTACGGTCCACTATGCGTCATCAAACGATTTAGATTTCCTCGAAAGTAGTTTAAACAAGCGCACAAATGCTCTAAAAGGGGGAAAATCACTTTTACTAATTAGAGTAGGGATACATGTTAGTCATTCTCCGCATCACGTTAAGCCTTACAAGAAAGGCATTTAATGTGCCTATTCCCAAGAACGACAATGTCACATCTAGGATTTCCACATTCATGGATTTCGTGGCCGAGTAAAGATATGTGTCACAAACCCTTTTCCTACAAAATCGAAACAAGGACTTGTGTGAAAACTATTTCAAGTCGTCAACAAGGCCCGAAAGACAAAGGTCAAATGATGAAACAACGAAATATTGAATGTGGAACATGTAGGCCATTTCTCTCAATTGAAAAGACAATCCTTCAAGTAAATGCCATGCTAACTACCCAGATCAATCCAACGGTTGACAGTATACCACGCCGTTCCACACATGTGTGGTTACCAACCCTTTCTCTTATTTAAAGAGGAAAAAACGTCACTTCACATGCCCAAAACCTTTCTTATTCAAACACTATTTTTGATATCATTCCAATTTGAGTGTTGGAGTGCTACCCTTGCAGGCCAGCCCCCTCTTCCCCGTATTGGAAGCTCTAAACCTCAACAAAAAACTATAAATCCATACTTTTCTATCAACTCTAGCTCCAACGCGAAACATTGGGACCATATGTGGGAATCAACTCCTGATTCCTATAACTTTCCACTATCAAAATTCTCTCTATTTAATCGAATCTCTTCCATTAGAAATATATATCTCCTTTGATCGAAACACAAATCTCCACTTCCTGATCACTTATGTTAGATTCAAACTCTCACCCCTTAAATCCTCCATTAGATCCGTCAATGATGTTGGCTTCAAAAGCTACTCGATTCGTTGTCCAAAGACAAACCATTGTCGTTGTTGAGGTAGCCAGAAATCCTGCAGCTCCTCCTCAAATGTCGAATGATCAAGTCATGCAGACTATTCCATCTGTTTCTCCAGCATAATATCATGTCTGACCTAGGATGAGTCAGGGATCAATTCAACCTCATCAGTTCCTTAGATTTGCACTAGAGTTTCACCAGGGCGAGCCATCAATAATACCTCCATCAATGCCTACAATTACTGGACAATAAATGCTTCCTAAACTTCAACTTCTATATGTTGACCTCAGAGTACAGAAATCCAATGACATACTGAAAAGTGTTTACCAAATGGTACGACAACTGAACTCTCAAGCCATAGCAGAGAGATTATTTCGAACTGAAGAAAGCTTACACCATGCCAATTATAAAACCCTGTATAATATATATTATAAATAATACCATACAAGTGTTAATTTTGGAATTGACATAACATAATGCCTAACGATATCATTTACATACATGTTCAATATACAAAATATAACATATGACACATGATATTGAAAAGTTCCTAAAAAAATTTCTAAGATCTAAGTACAATATCCACATTGCATATATTCCACAACGGAAGATCAAGACAATGACAGTCTTCGAAACATCATCCACAAGCTTACTCTTTCCTTTAACCTGCAAGAAACCATCTGAAAGCAATAATAATGGGGTGAGATAACAATCTCAGTGAATTCCCCTATCTTGTGAGTCCACTCGGCTCTGAAAAGAACTCTTATCGATTTCTTAACTTAAGCCTTTCAATTTGTCTTACCAGCGTACACTTACACCATAGAACAAGAACTTAAGTATGTATGGGGATTGTACGTTTCATATGAAAAACACTCAACATGAGTTCAAATAACTCAATAAATCACGATTCAAGAATGCAACAACAAAGTATCTTTCCTCGACCGATCCCACATCTAGGACTATGAACACGGGTCACGAATCCCTGTTACCTCGGACAAATTTCCCCGACTGATGCAACTCCATGGACTATGGACATGTGTCACAAATGTCCGCTCAATAAGGAATGTTTTTCCCTGGCCGATTTGAATCCATGAACTATGGACACGGGTCACAATATCCACCAAATAATCATTCACCTCACCGACCACTTCTCTATATGAGTCTCAAACTCGGGATACACACGAATAAAGGTTATTCTCGAATACACGATTAGGTTTCAAACATCACCATATGCTTACATCACAATCATCATGAGATTATAACAATTGGATACTTTCCTCGGCCTGATCCAAATCCATGGACCATGGACACGCGTCACTGTATCCATCTCAATCACTATGTGATTATCTCACAACAATAATATATCATGTTTTCATACGACATAGTTTAATTCACAATTGGATCATCGTTAACCATCTAAGCCATCCGACACTTTACGTAAATTGAACGATCATTCTCTAACAACTACTCGCTCGTGGATGCACATCTAGACACCTCTTACGTCTGAGTATTTAAACCTAAGTTATTTACCATAACCTAAATTATCTTTCTAAGTAATTCACCTAGTCCTTAACCTAGGTTAATATCACTCTTCATCACACTCAATCCATCATTGTTCATTCAAAAGCAAACATATTATAACATAAATCTTAAGACACACAGAAGCAAAGGAACGTATAACTCATTCACTAAAAGAAAACATGCAAATAAGTATCATTAGGTATCATCATCAGATATAACTTTAAATAAGCTTTTCAATGCATCTGACTGCGTCTCATTTTGAGTTACGAGACTCAAGATACGCTACTTACTAAATTGTCAAAATTTCCATGACAACAGATCTCGCCTAGCAAGGATCTGTCTCGCCCAACAAAACTGACAGGACAACGACATCAAAATCTCACTTTTTAATCCATCTCCTTCAACTTCTAACCATCTAAACCATACCCAATGATGTTATAGCATATTCAAGCATTTCATATCATGAATTTCACCTTATTCCAATATATCCGACCTCATATTAATCGGAACTACGATTCCCATTTATATATATATATATATATATATATATATATATATATATATATATATATATATATATATATATATATATATATATATATATATATATATATATATATATATATATATATGAGAATGAATCTAGATCATTAAATTAAAATATATTTTTAAAATTGATTATTAATTTTTCTTTCCTATTAAAAGCTCCCTATTTTTTGTATTTTGACACATAATTTAGTGAAATATATAGTTTAATCTCAACATTTCTTTTTAAATTTGATGATTATTATTCATTCTCATTTAACTTACATATTCTCCCTAGATATTCCTTATATATACGAGGACATATATAATAAAAATGCATATTTTATATGAGAATAAAAGAAATGAATATTGATTTTTAGATTGAAATTGATGGTTATGATTAAAAGCTTTAATTTTAATTACACATGTATCTCTTTGTATTTTATTAATTCTTATCAAACTCTACACTTTTCATCTTCTCCACTTAGCACCGCTCAGGGGTGGGTGGGATAGCTCACTTAACAATTACTAGTTGAATTAAACATTGCAAACTGTTGGTCCAGTGTTTAATTTTTTCAAGATGGAAAAAGATTGTTGATATTTATAAATTAACAACTTTTTAAAGAAAAAAAAAACTTAGCACCACTCATGTATTTATTTCATTCATTTCTTGGCTTAAATGATACAGAAAATAATTAGAATTCCAGAAAAAAAAATCTCATTGATTTCCAAGAGATTTCAACTATTTTAAAAACATAAATTATCATTCATTTTATTTAAGCAAAATATTTTTTTTAGACTTATTTAATTTAATGGTTTTTATTCAAGATCTCAAAATCCCACATCTTTAACATCGTCATCGCAGCCCCTCACCATCTTCATAGTCACCTCATAAC